GGAAGTAAGAAAAGCTTCTCAGCCAGAAGTTTTACAAAGTTATCCTTACTCGGACAAAAAAAAATATGTTACAAGAACACAAAATAAATAAGCAATAAGAGGCTTTAGAGTCACCATGGTAACATCTGCTACTGGTCATTACTCTGTGCTAAATCTGCCACCAGTCCTTTCTAACAACACTACTTATATAGGATTAACTTTCCATAGCCTAGGGTTTTTTTAAAAAAAACACCCAAGAACCTTTGTTGACTCTATGCCAAATATGGTGAAGTCAGGCAGATTCTCTGTGGTCCAGTGTTGTGTGACTTCAAGTAGTTTGTCCAAGAGTTATCTTCATGTCACATTGGTCCATGTTTTAATGTCTTTACAGTCACGACTCATGAGGGCAACTCATAATATCTCAAAGTCCCATCTCTGTGTATATTCACTTATATTGAGCTGGTTTACAATAATGTGATTCCTGTCGTAGTAATATCCTCCTAAAATATGAAAGATTTGAGAGACTGCTGTTTAGTACTCAGTATTTAATGAACTATTTTAGAAGCAGTTTTTTGTTCAATGTAGATGTTTTATATTTTTGAAATGTAACACTTTAAACACTGCCAGTAAATTCCTCAGTGTTCAGCTACCTATATTTTTTTCTGAATTTTGCATGTTTGACCACTGTTTCACCAACTCTTAAGTAACAGTGTACCTAATCCCTCAAAATGCATTTTAGGAATAGGAAGGAAATTTCATGGTTCCCATTGTAGAAGAAGAAGAACAGTTTGTGTTTATACGCCACTTTTTCCCTACCCTATGGACTCTCAAAGCGGCTTACAAACGTCTTCTCTTCCTCTCCCCACAGCAGACACCTTGTGAGGTAGGTGGGGCTGAGAGAGTTCTGAGGGAACAGTGACTGGCCCAAAGTCACCCAGCAAGCTTCCTGTGGAGGAGGAGTGGGGAATCAAATAAGGTTCTCCAGAGTACAGTCCACTGCTCTTAACCACTATACCATGCTGGCTCATGGGTACTGGGGTAAGGGGGGGGGATATAAGGCAGAGGAGAAAAAAGGATGTGCAAAGTACAAAAGGATAATTTACTCTGATGTTTTCCTTTTTAGACAGTGCTTAGGGAATGGGTAGCTGCTGTGCAGCTACAGGTACACCTGGATATCTCAGGACTACATTGTGCAGGACCTTGCTATTAAGCACTAGTAATTGCATCCCTTAAAACCGAGATCAGATATGCATATACCAAAAATCTCTGGAACCCCAATACTGACAGAAGCAATTCCCTGATTCAAGTTTATTTGCAAGCCACATCCTTGGCAGTTTCCACCCTCAAGCTGAACATGTTATGAATACTACTGCAAAATAAATTCAGACTATTAGAGCCACTTTTCCATATCAGATACAAACATGGCACTTTTCCAAAAGGAAAGGTTGCACAAAGGAATTATTAGAGAATGGTTACAGTTACGTGCACAGGAAACTTCCATTCAATTTCATAATGGACTGGTTCATATGTAGCACCTAACTGTGATTCAGTGCTACACCAACAAGCTTGGCTTGATCCTGGTTGTAGTTCACTTCTGACTTGTGGGCCACCTCCACCTTGTAATTTTTGTCACTTGTTTATCCCTATTGCTTCAGCCCCCCCCATGTGTTTTGCTGTCTCTAGTAGTCCCAGAGGGAGCAAAACACATATGGAAAAGGGGGGGGGGGCGCAAAGCAATAGGGACAAACAAATGACAAAAATGACAGTGTGTAAGTGGGACAACCGACTGTTCACTGAGAAACAGAGATGGAAGAAGCTGCAGTGCAAAAGGATAAATGAGGAGGGAGTGCCCAAGCTCAAGATTGTTTTGTGTAGCATTAAACCACTACATGCAGCAACTGAAGCAAGTAATTGCAAGTAAAGCAATAAGCAAAAAGTAAAGCAAAAAGACTGTCAACTGAAGCAAGTAATTGCAAGTAAAGCAAAAAGACTAACTGTCTATGTGATTGGTAAGTCACGAGCTTGTATTCTGGTGCCTAATCTAGAAGCAGACTTGCCTCACACAGGTGTGCATATTTATTGCAGGTTAATCTAAACTATAAGTAATTTAAGCAACTCATTTAAGAGCAATAATAGGTGTAGGCTTTGATTAGTACCTTTGATATCAAGAACAAGCTGTTCACTGAGGTATGAGCTGATAGTCCCATCCTGGTTCAATGTCCATTTTTGTCTTGCCTTTCCATGCTCCACCCATAGTGCTACTTTAGCTCCTGGTGCATCTTTGCCTCCAATGACATCAAGGCAAGCATCATTAACCTAGAAGAATATTGGAAAAATAGAATTCGTTCATTGCCATGATAGACTCCGGCATTTATTTTTATCTTGGTGGAGATGTCTACAGAAAGTGTGCTGTAGCCACTAACTGATTATTCTCATCATCACCACAACTGATCGATGAGAAGAACAAGTTTCTACTTTTATTACTGCTTCGTTATTTTACTTGGCTAGTTAAAGTACACACAGACATTTCTGTGATACAGGCCAGCAGTGCCCTGTAGGTAGACACAGACCTATTTATCACCACTGCTTTATGCAGATGTGGCCTTAGCACAAAGCAATGCCGAGGTTCTAATCTCTCCAGTATGCTCCAGGCCGCAGCAAAGGAACATTAATTTTATTATTCATATCAGATATGAAAATTACTGTGTTTGGCACTGTCTAGAAAAGGCTAAAAATCCACCTTCTTTGTGCGAAAGGGTTCACACTGATTCTAGGTAGGTGCTAGTGGAAAAGTGCCTTCCCAATAATTCAGCTTCTGGATATCTCATGAATACAGGTAAGCTGAAGGCATTTTTTGCTCTATAAAAGTTAATTGCTTTTTGTGCTGTTTACATATCTTCTCTTACCATCAAACTGGAGGATGCCTTAGAGAAAGACTACAATGACCTTTCAAGAGATTACAGAGTACTTGCTAATGACTTTGCTTTGTTTATTACTAATGCATGATAAAGACTGCCAGAGAAATATGGATACAAATGAGAACATCAGAGAACATCACAACAATTCTAAAGAATACAGGTTTTTCTCCCAAGGAGACAAATTGTAATGTTAATACATCAGAAACTGGAAAAGATAACACAAGTAAAAAGAATCTGTACTCCCCTGAAGGCTGTTACAAGAGCCAACGAATGTCGCATAAGTGGAGTGATCTTTACCTCGTTTTAAAATCATGCCCTAGTTTCTGCCCCAAGACATTTGTAATCTAAAAGCCTTATTTATACAATTGAGAACATTTACATCGTGAATGCAGTGGAAAAACAGGCCTGTAACTTGGGAGTGGTGGTAGAAACAGCTGGTTGGATGACTGCAGAGGGAAAAGAACAAATAGTTCCTTCCGAGTCCAGAGCTAAACTGAGATTTAAGCCTAGCACACACAGGTTCATGTAGGACATGTACACAAGAGGAGGGATGCAGGAAAAACTAAAGGGGCAGTTCTTCATGGGTGCCCTTTCTACACTTGAGAGTAGAAACAATATAACAAAGCAGAGAGAATTAAAACACTGCAATTTCAATAACTCGCAAAACACCTTGGATTTGATGAGTCCACATCTGTAGCGCCAGATCTGTGTATCCTTGCCATTTAGTGGGGAAAGACATACTGATGAAGCTCTTGCGTCTGTTAGATTCCCAGCAACGGTCAAATACTTATCTTGGGATCTGTTCTTTATTCTAAGGTATACGGCTGGCTGAAATAGAGAAGAATAACTATCATCTTGTTCTTGTGTAGAAACTCAAATCCCTGATCTTTTTTCTGTAGCACCCAAGACAAGCGGCATGTGTCTCACCATTACCTGGGGCGTAAAAAATGTCAGAATATTTGCACAAGTGTTAGAACGTGTATGTGTATGTAGACTCATGAAATAGGCCTACAAATTTCTTCAACCAAAACACCCCAGATATTTAGGATCAAGACTTTCTTTAAAAAGCCTATCCCTCTAAAAGAAAAAGACCAATTTAAAAAATCCTTTTCTGTAATACCTGCTTCAGAGGACGAAGGGAGCCAATGGCTTTCCAAGCACTAAAGTGGGTCCAGTTTAAAATCTTGCCAGGTTCAAGAAGAAATTGCTTTCCCAAGAAGTTGCTTCCTTCATATGCAATCCACCTAGTTTAAAGCAGAAAACAAACTTAGTATCTCAGCAGTTAACAGCCATATGAAATAGGTGTTAACACTTTTTCACACTTGAAAGATACCCTTGCTTCTCATGACAAACTTACTTTACATGCCAAGGATGTGAGTGATTGCTGCTTTAGAATGAAGCTTTAATATAATTATAAAACTGGAGTTCCGGGAAGGGACTAAAATTTCAAGATTTATAACCTTCCTTGCAATTTTAAAAATAAGTACTCAAGGCAGTTTACAATAATATCCATACACAATAGTTAAAAATAGATAATTGCACCCCTTAAAAATTACAGGTATTGGGATGGCGCTTCTCTAACAACAAAAAAGATTTGTTAGCTGCCACTGGGAGGCCTCTAAAGCTGGAACCATCCACACTACAGAGGGGACCAAATTCCAGTCATTTAGTCCTACATTTATGCAGAACTCCATGTACCCCAAACATTTCTACCAGAGGAGCCTATTTGCGGAAACACAACAGCCCATGCCAATCCCAATTATAATGAAATTACAGACCAAGGGTCGTCATGTTCACACAGGACATAAGAACATCTCCCCGTTCAGACAGGGCGCTGGGCAGCCATTTGACCTTTTCCTACCCTGAATGTTCAGAAGTCTTGGTAACAGACTTCCTACCTGGCAGCTGAGATTCACTCAAAAGCCTACATCTCTGTACCTCATTTTCTGATATAAGATGGGTAGCTTTGCCTCTAGATTCCCTCCCCCCACTCCCATGCTACTTTCTTGCTGCTGAGTCTGTAGAGTTTAGGTGTCAGGTGAAGCCATCTTTATTCTTCAAGGTATTTGCTTTGTTAAAGTTATGTATGTTCCTCGATTATCTGCTGCAGTGCTCTGAGTTGTTTTCTGTTCCCCAATGGCTTACTGTTAGTATTTATTTTTCTGCTTGCATTGTTGGGGTAATGGCTTATCTTTCTTTCACCACAAATATTACACTTGGAATCCCTATCTGATGAAAGCTTGAGCTTTTTGTATCACAGGTTCTCATGGTTTTCTTCTAATCTTATCCTAAAATGTACTTCCTGTTTTGCCAGTTTGACAGACTCTAATTTATTCATCATTTTTTGCTTGTTCTATCCTGCTTGTAACATGATAGTTAGCAGCTGTATTAATCTTCACTTCTCTCATTTCGCGAGGCAGTACTGCAAGACTAGTACATCAATACAGAGGTAATTTGGTGGTAGACAAGAAATTTGGTGGGTGAGGAGGAGAAAAAGAGGGAATGGTGTTGGGGAGGGGATACTGGGGAAATCAAAGCCCCCTCCCACAAGTCCATCTGAGTTCCCCACTTGTTTCACATATGTGCAGACTCCAAGAGAGTGTATGTTATTTATGATTTAGTAAAGCATTTATATTGCACTTTTCCTTGTGGCTCAGGCAGTTTACAATAACAGCTAAAAACATTTTCTGTTTAAAAGCAAAACTAAAATAACACTCCCCAAATGTCTCCTTCCTCTCCACCTTAAAAGGGTTCATGAACACCCCCATGTTCTTAACCTGACCTGAAAAAGCCAACGTAATTCCATCTAGGACAAGTGGATTCAGTCCCTCTAGAATTCAGCCTTTCCAACCCACATTATCTCTGTCTTGTCTGGATTCAGCTTCAGTTTGTTCTGCCTTAGCCACCTGACCATAGTCTCAAAGCACTGGCTCAGAACCAAGATGGACACATCTAGAGACTTGGATAATGAAATACAGAGCTGGGTATCATCTGCAGATTGATGGTACCCAAGCCCCAGACAATCACATGTGTATATTAAAGAGCATGGGTGAAAGACTAGAACCCTGTGATATACAACAAGATAAATTCCACCCAGTTGATTCTGCACCTGCAGTGGAGTCTGTGTGCCCAGGCAGATGGAAAAGAGTGAAACCAGTGAAGGGCTATGCCCTTAATACCAACTCCATATTCAAACCTGGTGAATCAGATGCAGCTGATAGAAGGGACTCCTGGACACCAGGCCAACCTGTTTTTCAAGCAGCATGGCAGGGTCCAACTAAAATAACACTCCCCAAATGTCTCCTTCCTCTCCACCTTAAAAGGGTTCATGAACACCCCCATGTTCTTAACCTGACCTGAAAAAGCCAACGTAATTAACTAAAATAACACTCCCCAAATGTCTCCCTCCTCTCCACCTTAAAAGATGCTTGCCAATTCAGGCTCCCTCGAAACCCCTGGCAGGCAGGTAGGCCTTGCAGTCCAAGGAGGCGCCCTCGCCTCTTCAGGGACCCCATTCCACAGAGCCGGAGACACGATGGAAAAGGTGGATGCCAGGCTGGCCACCCTGATGACCACGATTGGTGTACAGGAACATGATAGTTAGCAGCTGTATTAATCTTCACTTCTCTCATTTCGCGAGGCAGTACTGCAAGACTAGTACATCAATACAGAGGTAATTTGGTGGTAGACAAGAAATTTGGTGGGTGAGGAGGAGAAAAAGAGGGAATGGTGTTGGGGAGGGGATACTGGGGAAATCAAAGCCCCCTCCCACAAGTCCATCTGAGTTCCCCACTTGTTTCACATATGTGCAGACTCCAAGAGAGTGTATGTTATTTATGATTTAGTAAAGCATTTATATTGCACTTTTCCTTGTGGCTCAGGCAGTTTACAATAACAGCTAAAAACATTTTCTGTTTAAAAGCAAAACTAAAATAACACTCCCCAAATGTCTCCTTCCTCTCCACCTTAAAAGGGTTCATGAACACCCCCATGTTCTTAACCTGACCTGAAAAAGCCAACGTAATTCCATCTAGGACAAGTGGATTCAGTCCCTCTAGAATTCAGCCTTTCCAACCCACATTATCTCTGTCTTGTCTGGATTCAGCTTCAGTTTGTTCTGCCTTAGCCACCTGACCATAGTCTCAAAGCACTGGCTCAGAACCAAGATGGACACATCTAGAGACTTGGATAATGAAATACAGAGCTGGGTATCATCTGCAGATTGATGGTACCCAAGCCCCAGACAATCACATGTGTATATTAAAGAGCATGGGTGAAAGACTAGAACCCTGTGATATACAACAAGATAAATTCCACCCAGTTGATTCTGCACCTGCAGTGGAGTCTGTGTGCCCAGGCAGATGGAAAAGAGTGAAACCAGTGAAGGGCTATGCCCTTAATACCAACTCCATATTCAAACTGGTGGATAAGAATGGACTGGTCAACTGTGTCAAAGGCTGCTTAGAGGTCTAGCAGTATCAACAGGGAATACTGACCCCACAGGGGGCAGTTTTAATCAAAGATAATGCACCAGTGCAACTAAAGCTGACTTGGTACCAGACTCAGGCCTGAAACTAGACCGACATGGGTCAAAGGCCAATGTGTCATCCAGGAAGCCCTGGAATTGCTCTACCACCTCTATAAACTTAACTAGAAAAGGTACATTGGAGACTGGCCTGTAATTGGCCACCTCAAACCCAATCAATGAAGGTTTTTTGAGCAGAGGTGCAATAACTTTCCTTCAAAGGCTTAGGGAGAGCCCTCTCAGTCAAGGAGGAACTGATGCTTTTCATAACGGCTCCAAAACCTTTTCCCAGCAAGGGCATGGATCCAAAGTAGACGTGGCCCTCACGTTCTCAAGGACGCTGCCAGCATCCATAGGCAGGATCAATATGAAACTAACCACAAGAAAAGGACGAGCAGGTGCTTTTGACACCTCAGGTATTAGATATGCACTCAATCTGGCTACCAAGTCAGAATGGTTGAAAGAGATTTTGTCTGCAAAAAACCTTGCAAAAACATCACATGGGCCAGAATCTCGTCACTAACAAGGATGGACAGGTGTTATCAAGCCACAAACCACTTTAAACAACTGAGCTGGCCAAGATTTTGCTGACACAATGGTAGCAGAGAAGAAATTCTTCTTCACTACTATCATCACTACCTTATAGGCCTGTAACAGGCTCTATGACAAGCTCTGTATGATTCACCCCAAGTCTTCCACCAGCATCACTCTAGTTTTGTTCCAGTCCACTTCATATCACCCAGAAGTTAGTTTATATATTAGATACAGTGATCTCTCTAGGCAAATAATTTTTAAAATAACTGTTAGCCAAAAGTTAACCTACAAGAATCAGAAGAGAGGCCTACAGAAATATGAAGAGATTCCCTAGTACTGAAGCAGCATACTTGAACCGGTTTAAGAGCCATCCCCTAAGAGACTGAACTCTCCCTCTGGGTAAGAGGGAGACCATCGAGAAGGGAAATTAATGGTAAGTGAAACAAACCTTCCATTCTCTGGTAGTTCAGGGTGGAGCAGTCTGAATTTGTGGGTCATTTAAAAGCAGAATGCCCCTGGGAGGGTAAAACTTTGGATCGTTAGCCTGAAAAGGTATGCTTAAGGACCCTTCTCCCAAAGGCAGCATCAGCCGAGGCTGCCTTGTCAATATGGTAGTTTTTGGTGAAGGAATGGACTGACCTCCCAGTGGCTGCCCGACAGACCACCTCTAAGGTGAAAGACCTGTAGGCTGCCGGGGTCACTGCCCCTCTGAGCAAATGAGCTGTTACACCTGAAGGGGGGATCCAGACCCCTCTGCCAGAAGAAGACAACCTGTGACCCAACTAATAATGTTGGGGGTTGAAACCCTATGTTCCAAGGAGTCTTTATTGAAGGACACAAACGTGTTTTCTGATTTGTGAAACCCCTTGGTTCTGTCTAGATAGAAGCTCAGTTCTCTCTTTTTGGTGTAGTGGTTAAGTGCGCGGACTCTAATCTGGGAGAACCGGGTTTGATTCCCCACTCCTCCACTTGCACCTGGCTGGATGACCTTGGGCAAGCCGTAGTTCTGACAAGAGCTGTTCTTGAAAAAGAGCAGTTTCTGTCAAGAGCTCTCTCAGCCCCCCCTACCTCACAGGGTGTCTGTTGTGGGGAGAGGAAGGGAAAGGAGTTTGTAAGCCACTCTGAGACGCCTTTGGGTAGTGAAGGGCGGGGTATAAATCCAATCTCTTCTTCTTCTTCTAAACA